TGTACACCAATCCTGCCCTCACTGAATGGTCCTTTGACAGATGTGCTTCCTATTGCCATGAACAGTTGAACATGCGTGGTTGCCCATGACTATAGCTGGATCTATGTTTGTTCCTTTAAAGTTGCTTGTTCTTCATATACAGGTTTCTTATAATTAAAATGAAAAATAACTCTTCCTTTTCCATGTGTATGAACTTATGTGTACTTGCCATTTCTTGTTGTTGTGTCTTCAAGTCATTTCCAACTTACAGCAACCCTAAGGCAAACCTATCATGGGGTTTTCTTGGCAATAATTTTTCAGAGGAGGTTTGCCGTTGCCTTCCCCTGAGGCTGAGAGAGTGTGACTTGTCAGCCCAAGGTCACCCAGTGGGTTTCATAGCTGAGCTGGGAATTGAACCCTGGTCTCCAGGGTAGTAAATATGTGTTTAGAAAGGAGAATCTTCAACCTTCCTAATATAGCTTGACTCTCAGCCTAAGCAATGCTAAGATGTGATGTTCATCAGCATCTGGAGCATCAAAAGTTCCCAACTATGAGTTTAGACCAGGGGTAGACAACCTTTTTGAGCTGGGGGCCGAGTTGCTGTCCCTCAGACAATTGGGGGGCCGAAGCACAATAAATAAATAAATAAATAAGACATTTTTAAAAAAATAAAAAAATAAAACAAATATGCATGCAAACTCTCTCAGCCCCAGAAAAGCCATGGCAAAACCCCTGTGGAGATTTTGCCAAGAAACCCCCAAGAACAATAACAACAACAATAATCAATATCATCATGGTGGGCGGCGGCAGCAGCGACAGGACCTGCCTTGGGCCGATCCAAATGCCTTGGGGGGCCGCATTTGGCCCCCAGGCCTTAGGTTGCTTACCCCTGGTTTAGACTTATAAGAGATCCCCAACAATATGAAATGTCTCTAGGTCTTCTAAAATAATTTTAAAAAATAAAATGGGATTTTAGCATATGATGAAGCAAATATTTTATCCTATGCCTAGATTCAGCCCATATTTGATCACTGATATAAATGTGACCATTTTTTGCAAGATTTGTCTATGCTGGAAAATGTGTTCCCACATATGTAACAAATGAATAGGTTCATTATGACAGTGAGGATGATGCAACATTGTTGGAGTATGAAAGGAGAGACCCAACATAAGGTTGTTGAGAGGATAAAAATGAGAAGGAGCTCCATGTAACTCACCATGACTTTTCTGGACCAAAGACTGAATATAAATGTAATAAATACAGTTTCCCCACATACATTTTAACGGGCTGTTGCATCCGTAAAAACAAACAACCCTGAAGCATTTGGGATCAATTAACATAGTAAATCTGGCCAACATACATTTACTGCATCACGTACATTTACACTACCATCCCTGAGCACTCACAAGAACTTAAGCATCTGAGAACAGTATGTAAGTACACTCTGCAGTGCTTTCTGCAGTTCTGGAAAATCTTTTTGGGAGCCATCTGCCAACGCACAGAGAATGTATTGGTATACTGCCAAATTCACCCAATGTATTTCTCCATATCTTTCTGGAGATTTTTTTTTAATAAAGTAGAAAACACTTTCTTAATCTCATCCATCCTCTTCAACAGACAACAGTTTTCTGTCCACACAAAGTTCAGTTGCAACTATTTTCCCATCAGTCTTTTGAAACTTTTCAACCAAGGTTTTAAAATACAGTCGGCCCTCTGTTTTCATGGGGGATCCATTCCGGACACCCCACCCCACCCAGAAATGGAGATTCGCCAGTATTCAAAACCCATAGGTTTGAATGGGGCGCACCCCACTGATTTTAACAGAGGTCGCCCCTCTGTGAATATAAAAAACCACGAGAACAGAGGGGCAACTGCATATGAAATCAACCAGTGTGAGACTAAGGGCCTTTGCAGACTGCCAGAAATAATGTAGCTTGAGACCACTTTAACTGTCCTGGCTCAGTGCTAGGGAATCATGGGATCTGTAGTTTTTTCTGAGACATTGAGCCTTCACTGTCAGAGACCTTTGGTGCCTCAATAAACTATAGTCCCCATGATTCCCTAGCACTGAGCTAGGGCAGTTAAAGTGGCCTCAAGCTGGATTATTTCTGGCAGTCTGTTCAGGCCCTAAATCAAGAGATTCCCCAGAAACTCTTAAAAGATATGTGTTTAAAGGATAACAGAGGAGGCAGAGGTAACAGATTTGTTGTAAAAACAACAAAGAGACTTTGGGCACCTTAAAGACCAACACATTGGCAATAAAACCTTTGTGGAGTGCAGTGCATCAGACAGTTCAAAATCACATCAGATAGCTCAAAACTGTATACTTTTCTCTGCCTTAGCCCCTCTCACCTCCCTGTTTTGTCAAATTTCTCATCTCCTTGTTTTGTCAAGTTTCTCACCTCCTTGTTTTGTCAACTTTCTGCTGGTAGTGGTGCAATTTTATTTGAGTTGCCTTCCCTAACTTTTCTGTACGGTGCGTTGCAATACAAAACAGTGCCCCTGTGAAGATTTCACCACTTCCCCTGTCTAGATGACTTCCTATTTGGTGGTTGGGAGGGAGTGAAAGAAAGGGAAGGAGCAGAGAGGGAAGAGGGAAAAAAGGAAGAACAGGGACACTGTCCAGACACAGCAAAACATAAAAGCAAAAGAAAGAAAGAGAGAAAGAGAGAGAGAGATCTCAATTATTTGAGACCAGAATTCTATAGGGAGATAAATAAAAGGTGTGTGTGTGTGTGTGTGTGTGTGTGTGTGTGTGTGTGTGTAAAAAATATGGAGCATAGGACAACAGTTGTCAAACCACTAAATAAATCGCTACCACCATAACCTCTCCCCCCAAGAGGGGTAAAGCAGAAGAGGAAAGGATCAGATCCTCAGACAAGGATCCAAAACACACAGCAGAAATAATTCAGTTTAAGACCATTTTAACTGCCCTGGCTCAGTGCTAGGGAATCCTGGGAATTGAACTTTATTGTGGCACCAGAGCTCTCTGACGGAAGGCTAAATGTCTCACAAAACTAGACTCCCCAGTATTCCCTAGCATTGAGCCAGGGCAGTTAAAGCAGTCTCAAACTGGGTTATTTCTATAGTGTGTTTTGGACCAAGCTGAGCTTGATACAGATGGGCTGAGTATCCCCTAACTGGAAATCCCCAATGAGAACAGAGAAACGTGGGAGGCATTAACCACCACAACCACGTCACTTGTCACGTGATCACAACCTGATCCGGAAAGAGCTACTGCTGCTTTGCATTAAATTGTTTTCCTCTGTCCTGGCAGAAATCACACCATCACAGTGTGTATGTGTGTGCCTTCAGGTCGCCTATCAACTTATGGCGACTCCATGAATTTCACAGGGTTTTCCGATGCAAGGAATCCTCAAAGGCAGGGTGACCAGATGTCCTAACTGCAAAGGAGGACAAGGCACTGCAAAATGTAAGATATTCAAGAAAAATGTAGGACATGACCAAATAAAAGCTCAAAACACTCCTAGAAAAATAAATTCAAGCTTCTTAGCCATGCTCAAAACGGAGGATGTTTTGAAATTCCTCCTTGAAAAAAGTATGAAATGTAGGACGTCCTGGAAAAAGATATCTGGTTACCATGCTCAGAGATGGTTTTGTTGCCAGTTCCTTCCTCTGACATACAGCCTATAGCACCCAGTATTCCCTGGCGGTCTCCCATCCAAGTCCTAAGGGCTGACCCTGCTTAGCTTCCAAGGTCAGCAAGGATCTAGTGCCTTATTTAGTGATGCCTTCTTTATCCCCCTTCCAACACCAGTGATGACTTTACAACAGCGAGCCCCTGTCTGTCCTCCGAGTCCTCCATGTCCATGCCTGCACTTTATTCACCATCACCCCTTACTCTATCGATCTGTGCAGGGAAAGACAGACAAGCAAATTTAAGCTTCTTGAGGACAGTGGTCAAGGGATGACCTTTCTAATCAAAGTTTAAGTAACTGGGATAGGAACGTCTTAAGACCAAAATGGTGAAAGGTCTGGAAACCATAAAACCCTATGAGAGACTTAGGGAGCTGGGTATGTTTAGCCTGGAGAAGAGATGGTTAAGAAGTGATATGATAGCCCTGTTTAAATATATTAAAGGATGTCATATTGAGGAAGAGAGTCAGCCTAGCATAGAGGCTTGAATGCTGGACTATGACTTTGGAGTCCAAGGTTTGAATCTTGGCTCAGCCATGTAAACTCACTGGATGACTTTGGGTAAGTCACACTCTCTCACCCTCAGAGAATGGCAACAGCAAACCCCCTTTGAAAACCCTGTGCTAGGTCGACATAAATTTTTTTTAAAAAAATAATAATAATAATAAATGCTATTGTTAAAATGTACAAGCATACAATCCTTCCACACAAAACGATATACCTTTGCATTTGTTACATTTATACCATTTTTTAAACTAACTATGGGCCTTTGCAGACTGCTAGAAATAGTGCAAATTGAG